CTGCCTCAGCCTCCCCAGTGCTGGAATTATAGATGTGCACCACCACACCTAGCTTGCTTGAGGAAGGTTTTTGTTTGGTTGGTTGGTTTTTGGTTTTGGTTTTTGTTTTTTAAATGTGTGAATGATGAGGTGAGCATTCTGCTCAGTACAGCTGACTGGGGGTCTCCAAAGAACACTTATTGAGTATGTAAGTCAGTGTCTATGCAGGCCTGCCTTCCCCTTCACAACAGGGCCTCAGAGGGGTGAGATCAATGTAGACTTTGTCCAGACCTGTTGATGAAGGCTGTGCCTTCACAACACTATTAGGTTCTTAAGTTGTGCCAAAGTGGGATGGGGCGGTTAAGGTAGGAACAGCCTTGCCCTGGGTTCCAAAATGCCAGCGAGGCTGATAAACAGATACCAAGAGAGTACTTAAAAGCCTTGCCCAAGCTGCACCGAGTCACCAAATTGCAGGAGGCAGACTGTGGTTTTCAACCTTGAGAGTCAGTCAGGGTTTTCTGCTCCTGGGCAACAAAAATGGATGCCAGGATGTGTGGGGTTTGGTCGGCTTGTACACAAGCCCTTGATTCACAGGACTCTGGGCTCTAGGTCTTTTTGGTGGGCTTCAGGGTGGCCTAAGAATATGATCTCATGACTCCCCCATGCTGTGGCTGCTGCGGAGAGTCCCTGCCCACAGGCATAAAGCTGCTGCTGTGCCCAGGTTCACGGCCATACAGCTAGCCAGAGCCAAGGCAGTATTCCTACTCAGGACAGTGTGGTCCAGAAACTAAGCAATGTCACCGCATGACAGAGGCTCCTGCCCTGGGTCCATCTGGACACAGCCTGCCTCTGCAGTCCTCTCTTGTTAGTCCTGCCCCCAACATTCTGCCATTCATACACAGTGGCTGCCATTCCCTAAACCTGGCTCGTCATCAATACTTTTCAACTCTCAGTCATGGCCCCTTAGTAGAATGATGAAATCCGCTAAAGAACTAGGGCTGTCTTTTGCACTTTTTTTTTTAAATAATAAAACAGAAACAAGACTTAAAATATCATCATTCTTTGCCTGGAGCATGGTGCTCACCCTCCCTACACAGCCCTGCTGTAGCTTTGGAGCCCAGGGGACACCCTGCTCCCCCCACTGCTCCCCTAGAGCTGAGTGAACCTGAGCAAGGCAATTAAGTCTTTGATTTCATAAGAGCACTTACTTCTCATGTTTGTTGTGTGAATAAAATGATTTTATACATGCTAAGAGCTCAAAAAAGCATTTACACACACCCAGGCACACATATGCACATCTTTGGGATAGTTTCCTGTTTGTAGCTCAGGTTGGCCTGGGACTTGTTATGTAGCCTGGGCTAGCTTCAAACTCTACATCCTCCTATTTCACTGTCTTTAAAAACATTGTTTATCTTTTTATTTTTCCTGTGTGAGTGTTCACTCATGCATGCGCTCTCTCTCTCTTTGTATCTGTTGTCTGTCTGTCTGTCTGTCTGTCTGTCT